GCACAAATGAAAAACATTTTTATGTTCAATAATAATATACAACAGATAACAATGCGTAATTGTAAACTTGAAATAGAGGATTTTTTTATAACGTCAATTAGTGTAAACGAATGCAATTATTTGTTCTAATATTTCTGCATGAATTTTTCAGAATGATAAAATAGAGCTGAAGCTTCAGCCAGCCTATCTTCAATCGTGAAATAATTAAATTTGGTCTTTAGAGAAAACTTGGATGCTTTATTAGGTATTTTCTCTCATAGGTTCAACAGAAGCAGTTATTTTGTTTGAATAGTTACTAACAAAATCGTTCACCATCAACAGTCATATGTTATAAACGATTTCAACGGCAACAAGAAAACAGATGTCATTATATCTTCTCGATTATAGTGAGAAAAATTTCACACCACAAAGTATACCATCTATAGGTTCTCATCCATGGACAATCTAAATGATGACAATCAAAAGAATATCTTTGTTACCACTATTAACAATGAAATTGGATGCACTGTTTGGTTACGGTAAAATGAACAGTTATCTATTTTAACCATAGCAAATTATCGTGAAGATATTTCTCCTCATTTTATTTCTTTGTTCAATGAGTGGATTTCTTTATAGTTTATTTCTTTGTGATTTTGAACATCTTTTTTTAATTACACTAGGACAAAGAACATTAAGTTTGGCGTATTAGAAACAGTACATTCTAGTTTGACAATGTTTTGTTGCAATAGAGTTCAAAATATTGTGAATTGATTGAATGCGAATCAAGAAGTAAAACTTGTTTGTATATTAGATAATATTTGCAGTATCTACATCTTTTTTTTTGATCAATTTCACAAGAAGTAATCAAGTCAAAAATTTTTTTTTCGTGGTTTTTATTAACAATCTTGTTTTCAATCGTAAATTAGATAAAAATGATCTTTTTTTACATATTTGAAAGCATTGATATGAAAAAAGGATAGAATTTTCTCAATCAAAATCATAGATGCATTGACTAGGCATGCAATCATAAACGAGTTTACAATTAATTAATACAAATTTCTCATGGTAGAATCACTAATGGAAAAGAAAACATTATCGATCAGACATTATCTCAATGAAAGCTCAGAAAAAAAATTCATACCAACATATAAAGCATTCCACATATTTTTCACTGTTAGCAGTTCTGAAACAGTAATGATTTATATTTTCTAATTCAACACAAACAACTAAAATATAAAAAATTACTTCAGCAAGAGTAAGACTGAAGGTATTGTACATGCATGCAGTTTCATCCAAGCATCATATTGAGTGAAGTATAACATGGTTTTGAATGGTCAAACGTCGTCAAACATTCATGTACATGTAAAAATGAAATTTACTACACTGGTTTTAGATGTGTACTAATCATTGATATTGTTACTGAATCAATATATGAAACGAAACTCGATAGAAATATTATACTTTTTCTATTGACATGAACATGAGTAATATTCTTTGTTTTATTACTTGCACAACTCATCAGTTATTATTTATGATTCTGGAATCTTCTTTATTTTTTCTTAAATTGACTTTTGTTAACTTTCCAGTGAGTTATCAGCAATGAATAATATCTTTTCTTTTCACAATAAACATTTATGAATACGAAAGAATATAAAGAAAAGTCTTTTAAAACCAATGTTTTGTTACGCTACATCAGATTGGATATGATGGCAACTTTATCTGATTCTGTTAGTTAGTATCTGCGTGTGGTCTTCTCTCTAGGTATACTCATATTCTATAACAACTCTAGTTCATAAGTTTAGATCAACATAACTAATGAGCTGGTAAATAGAGAGCTACAAGTCTACGTTTTGGCAGATCGAGATTCGATCAGCTCTTTTGTGTATATAAACAAGTGAAGGGTCAAGGTTTTATCTATTTATTGATTATTCTTATTAAAAAAGTCAACATACAGTTATTTCTTGCTATTTACTTTTCTATCATTTGATGCTGAATAAATTTAAAGTTTTTGCTTAATTGAAAGAGCATTATGTTAACAAACACGAAAAATTGAGGAGTTAATTGATAAATAAAATTTGTCAAACCAACAGTCAAATCACAATCTTTAGCTGTATAGAATAGTTTTAGTTGTATTTATGTAAATGAAATAAAACAAGTACAGAGCTGCAACTTCACATTTTTTTAGACCCACAGCTTTCTACTGATGAAATAGTTCTTTGAATAGGGCCTAAACTCATTGTACATTGTATTATATGAACTGATCGACTTAAAGTTAACAAGCTGATTATTACTTTTTGAAGAACAACCCAAACGAATATCTGTAACTTTTTGAGATCTACCACATGGTTGAGAATATTTTATATAGTAACATGAGTATGGACGATATTGGACGTTGGGCGGTTAGTGAACGTTTCATTAAGTACTCTAAAATTTATTGAAAATTTTCGAGGCTTACTCTTACTCACTCAACACTAAGTACACTCAAAAAGTTCAGAACAATGCCTTGACGTAGCCTAAAAAAACAATATTACAGGTATCCACCATATGTAACTTCTGCCAAGTTGTAAATAACTAATTAATCTTAGGCTAATCAGTTTTCATAAAAAGTATCTAAGTTTGTAAGAATTCCTAAATTGTTACATTCAAAATTATAGAGTAATGATCTAGCATGACAATAATCAAACATTATGTTCTTTATTTTAGTGAACATCAAATTTAATATTTATACAATGCAGAGTAAAAAAAAAAATTCTTTATACATTCAATATTAATTCGTTTGATCTAAGTTAATATTAGATTGAAAGAGATATTTTCGAAATTTAAGAATAACACGCACTGATTCTATTGATTCATCATCATTTTTCATGATTAATTCTTTTGTTTCAGATGAAAGACCATCTACAAAACAAAATTTTTTTTATCAAAATAGAGAATATGTTATTTCTTTATTAATATACATACTTGGTATACAAATTTTAAATTTTCCTAATGGACAACCTTTTGCTGTTTCAATATAACCTTGTTCACCTGTACTTAATTGTACATTAAAATTAATGAATATTTCAATATTTGTATCGGGTTTAAATAAATCACGTGCTAATAATGTATTTGTATCAAGTATACGATCAATAAAACCGAATTTTTCAACAAGTAATTCAACAATTGATTGTTGTTGTTCATTAGTTTTTACATTTTTTTCTTCAGCTTTTTCAGCACGTATTTTAGCCATTGTATATAATGATATATAACTATCACGTTCGAGTAAAACATTTTCTAATTGTTCTTGCATCTATTTAAAAACAAAAAGATGAATAGAATATATATATATATGATAAATTAATCATAATAGAATTTTACTTCAAGTAATTCTTGATTTATATTAAGATTTTTCATTTGTGTTCGTAATTGATCATTATTTTTTTTTAATATTAAATATGTTGATCGAAATAATTCGATTGTTTCAGCATATTTTTCAAATGATTTATCATTAGTAAAATAACGTTTCTATAAAATTAGAAAAAAAAAAACAAAAATATATACATCAATGAAAAATGACAATAGAATATTTTCTTATACATTCATCTCATCAAAAAATGCTTCACTTGTCATTTGTTGTCCATCTTTAAAAAGAGTTGAAGGTGCTAATGTATGTGGTACTTGTGCTTAATAACAAAAACAAAATAAAGATTATTCGTTTTTCGGATCGATAAAAACTTCTTTTTTTTTTTTTGTAATTACTTAATAATAATTGATTATCTGAAAGAATCGATTGAATACGTTGTTTAAATTCATTTGTAATTTCATCAACTGTACAAGTTATCTGTTGTTCAACATTACGTAATCGTTCAATATTTGCCATTTCATTAAGAGCATAAGCCTTGAGATAAATATAAATATAGATAATAAACAGGAATAAGAAAAACATATTTACCTCCATTCGATCATTTGATAAACGTAATTTTTGATCCCATAATTGTAGAATACTTGTATTCTTTTCATTAATTAATACTTGTTTTCGTTTGATTGACAAAGGCGTAGATGGCTCATTGTTTTCCTATGTGAAAAATTGAATACTAGTACTAAAGTACAATCGAATTTAAAAACTAAGAAGAAGGTTAGTTCTGCTATTTTTCGAACTGTGCTCACTATTTAATAGATAATATATATTGATTTGCATATGAAGGAAAGAAAGCATTTTATCCGAAGCTATACTATTGATTATAGCTCATCGTATTGGTCTCGATCTGAGAAATATGTAGGATGCGCTAGTCACCGAATACAAAAGAAATAAAAAAAGGTTCTTGTACTTTAGGAGTGATTATCCATTTCTGTTTAGAAAACGTCATTCAAAATATCTAAGTACGATTCGATCGGGTTCGAGTCTTAAAAGTTTGGGCTCTACTATCAACACAAAACAATTTATTGTTATTGTTTAGAATAGAACAAAAACGCCTACTTCGGATTAACTATTAACATAAACAGAATAAAGTTCATCGAAATAATTAAGTTATCCGATGTCTATTAAACATTATATAATTGAAGATATATCTCGTGAAACGTACTTTTCCGACAACAGAATTCATTGTTGGATGTGGAGATGGTGCTAGTATAATATCAGATTTTAGTTGCTGTATAGGTTGCATTTTTTTTTGTTTTAGTGACAAAAAAACCTGATCAAAAAGTAATACTGTCAGAAGACAATGTATCATTGTTTCTTTGTTTCGCGCTATTTCATCTCATTTTTATGGAATATTTATTTTTTTTTTCTATTACTAAAATATTAAAATTTCATGAAAATTTAAAATTAAGCAAAATTTTTCTAAAAAATCTAAGTGCATAAGTGCATTGATACTCTACAGCCCTCTTTCTACCTATCTAAATCCATAGAATACCATCAGGGATATTTATTATTGTTGTTCCCTTTTCCTATATCTTTTTTCCGGGATCTCAAGTAGCAATCAAGTGTCTAATATTCTTTTATATATATATACATATAAACTATATAATCAACTAACAAAATAATGATTAATTCACCTCCAGGCTCATATAGTGGTGGTGGTGGTTCTCGTCGAATACGTTATTCACGTTCACCATCTGATAATGCACCACCATTAAAACGTTCTAAACCGTCAAGTTCAAATGATCCTTATGATCGTAATTATGGTAGTGGTTCTGAACAATCTCGTCTTTATACATCCATATGTGTAAAAAATATTAATCCAAAAATATCAGATTCAGGTAAATAGAAGAAAAGATTGACATTTTGATTATTAAAATAATTAATTTTTTCTTCTACAAATAGAAATTCGAGATTTGTGTAATAAAAAATTTTCTAAATATGGTTCAAATTCAATTAAAATTTATCATAAACATCAAGAACGTGTAGCATTTGTTAATTTTATAAATTGTGAAGATGCACGAAAAGCTCGACATGCTAAAACAGGTCTTGTTTGGGAAAATATGCAAGTTCTTTTAGAACCGTAAGAAGATTTTTTTCTTTTATTCATCAAGCATAATTATATACATATGTATACACATTAATCTAGAGTTTATTATCGTAAAACTGTTCCAGCTGAACAACCTATTAAACCTGAAAGTTCTCGAGAACGTTCTCCAAAAACTCGACGACATCGTCGTCCAACTCCACCAAGTCCCTTACCATCACCACCACCAGCTAGTTCCCATCATCGTTCATTATCACGACGTCAACATACAAAGTCTCCTTCACGCTCATCACGTCCAGCACGTCGACAATATTCACCATTCATACCGTTACCACCTGATTTAGCTAATTATAAAAAAAACATATCTAGTCGACAACGAGAACATTCATCACCGTCACCACCACCACCGCCACCACCTGTTCGTCGTCATCATCATAAAAAGCAACATAGTCCAACTCCAAATAAGCATCGAACATCATCACCATCATCACCAAATCGAAATAATTTAGATAATGAATCTAATATTCAAAATGAACCAACACGTACTTTATTAATTGAAAATCTTGAACGAAATGTAACAGAATCAAAATTAGAAGGAATCTTTGGTCGTTATGGAACAATTAAAAAAAGTAAAAGATATGTTTATTTAACAATAAACAGATTTCATTCGATCGATTTTTATTTAGTTGATCTTAGAAAATCATCATCCAAAGGTGTTTACGCATCTATTCAATATGAAAATGTTGATATGGCATATGAAGCACGACGAGCTATAGATGGTCAATCTATTGGAAAAGCTAATTGTAAAATTAACTATGGTGCGTAAATGATTATGCATCTTTTGTTTTTTTTTTCGCTTCATTCTCTAATCCATTTCTTTACTGAATGGCTTGTTGAAGAAAAAAAAAAGAAACAAGTTCCCTTATTCTTTCTTTTTGTCCAATTTTTTTTTCATATACAGTATGTGTTTATTTGCTTCATCATATGCTTATATTCGTTCCTCTTTTGTTCTTCTCTCATATTGATGTTGATTGATCTTGTCGTTTTAGAGATTCTGACATAAAGTTTATATTGATTGTGTTAAACATACCAAGTTAATATAGAGTTTTATATAATTATGATATATATATATATATTTGAGAGAGTGATATAGATATGGAATTATTTATATAAGAAGAAAACAGAACACAAAAGTATATATATATATATATATACATATACATTTTAAAACTATTATAAATCATCATGTCATTTACAGATTATTATTCATTGATAAAATATACTTGATAAAATAAAAATGTATGTATGAATAATATATCCGTATGTCAAGTGCGTTTAAAATGAAAGTTTTGGTTATAAAATTTTTATTGAATAATGATACTATATAATATGACTCATTTAAGTATATATATACATAAATATAGAAATGGAAATCGAGCTGTATTAATATAATTCTACCTCTCTATCATATTCGTTTTTTCTTGCTTTTGTTCGACTATTCTGTTGCTTTAATTCTTACAATCTTCTATTTATCCATTTCTTTGATATGATACTTTTGTTATAAAAATAAGATAATGATGATAGATTGATTCATTGGTGAAAGATATTTTCTCTATTGAATTTTGGCTTATATCTTTTACTATACATTCATAGATGACAGAAGTCTTGTCTTTTTTCAGTTCAACAAGATCAAAATCATCATTGATTATATATGTATTAACATTAATAATTATTCGAGAGTTTGCAAAAATTCTTTCTTTCCCTTTACTGATAAATACACATATACTTAATGGATTATATGACGAAGAAAATGTTTATTGGATATCTCCATATGTATTATATATATTTTTTCAGGCAAAATTGTACCAACTAAACATCTTTGGGTTGGAAATATACCCGAGGATATACAACGACGTGATCTGGAACATGTATTTTCACGTTATGGACAAATTAAAACATTTGATTATTCAACAGGTGATCCAACAGCTATTATTACTTATAGAGATATTGAAGATGCAATTAAAGCACGTAAAAAACTTAATGGTACAATAAAAATTGTGGATGGTCGAGTAGTACGTAGTGAATCTGATACATCACCATCATCACACCGTGGTAAGAAATATCGATTAGAAAACATTATATTATATTATTAACTTTGTGAAACACGATATAAAAAGGAGTGTTTAAGTATTGAAATAAAAATATGAACACGCCTCTGGACAGACGCTATTTAGACACTATCACACACCATCATACACGCTAGTTAGAGACAGTCATAGACCGTGACGGACACTAATTAATGACCACAATAGACTGTAACCTACACTCAGTACATACAATTAGAAAGAGACAGCAAGATGATTTACGTCTGCGCAATCTTTTTTGTGTTCTGCATTTCTTTCTGGGATTTTTTATTATGAATAGCTAACATCTTTAAATGTTTGATGGAACAAATTGTCTTTGTAAAAGTGAAGTTCCATTTAGAAATTTTTAAGACAATCAGTTATTTTCTTTTAAAGAGAAACTAAATCGAGTCATATTTTGAAGATTAATATATGAAAAAGATAGAATATAAGACAAATATCAAAATTATCGTTTGATCATCAGCATATCTAAAATTCATTGAATCGCCACGACAGCATATTATGCACGAAATCCATCTCACGATATGGATAGAAATTTCAAATAATCTTTTACTGAACATGTTGTACCCAATAGCTTATTAGGTATCTGATGAATATCGTTTCTTAAAATATCTCAATTTTCAATAGTTTTCATAAAATACTGATGGAATATACTTTTCGGATATGATGCTCCTAACAATTTCGTAGGATACCATATGTGGCGTATGGTCATTTTTTTAGATGAATCAATAAAGTTTAAAATTTTACCAAAGAAAAATTGGTAAATAAACGGTTTCTCTGTATCTTTGGAAGACTCTCTCTCTTACATCTTTCTCCTTTTAAATAGAACCAAATGAAAATGATGCCTACGGGTGTCTGAGTCCATTACGGATCATAACATACACCAGTCAGAAACCAGCAAAAACTATATGTCAATAAAACCTTATTATAATGTATGAACCATTTTCTTATTACATTTCTGGAGAAGGATGGTGAAAAAACCGTGTCCCAAAAGAAATAGAATATAACAATCTCCTCATGATTAGCAACAGTATCTATGTCGTGTTTCATATTTTAATATTACAGGGATAATACGAACAGCTGTTTATTTTTCATAGGTTTTCGTATTGATTATCTTGATCGTCCAACATCTCGACGTTTTGTTGTTGTTCGACCACACAAAAAATCATTAAATAAACGTGAATCACGTTCATCATCTCGTTCAAAATCACGTAATAGATCACCTGCATCATCGACACATGATCGTACACGTTCTCCATCAAATGACGTTAATAACGACGAACAAACTAAAGATAATTTAACTGAAAATCTTAAAACTGAAACGCATTCACGTTCACCAACACCATCATCAATATTAAATACTATAAAACAACGACGATCAACAGATCGTAGTGAAAGTTCACCATTAACGAATTTAGCTCCTATTGCTGGACGAACATTTTATGGTTCATTAGGTTCGTATTTATCTCCTGATGATACAGCAAATGTAACTAATCTCGATGAATTAATGATTCTTTGTGAACAATTAAATTTATCAGCAACAAAAAGTAATACTGCTTTAGCTACTGTTTATCCTGTTCAATTTATACTTAAGTCGCATGCTTATGATGCACGTATGCATTTTCTTGCTGGAAGTCCATCATTGGCTAGTATTTTACTTGGTATTGATATGTTTTATTATTGTTTAACAATATTTAATATTTTGTTTAATTAGGTCAACCAGGTGATTTAATTGCAGCTAAAACTGAATTAAAAATTACCCAACGACTTCGTCTTGATCAACAGAAACTTGAAGATTTAGAACGAAAACTTCGTAGTAGTGTTACAAATGCATTAGCTATAACAGAAAATAGTACCCGTAAAAATATAAATGGTCATTCATCAAATAGTTCAACATTAATTAATAATCGAAAACAATTAACACTTGCAAATCAAACAAAATTTGCTATACTTATTGCAACACCTAAAATTAATACTTCAAATGAATCATTAAATTCAATTGAACAACAAATGTCAAGTGGAAAAATCAAAAATGAAATAACTTCACCATCACATTCGGATGAATATGATAAAAGAAATCTTGAAATAAAAAAAGAACAAATGAATAATGATGATACTGATAATGAAGATGATTTATCACTTTCTTGTTTGATTTCTTATTTAATTGAGTAAGTATAAAGTAAAACAAAAAAACTTTCCTTCTCAACATCGATATTATCTCTAAACTTCAAATATAAATCACAATCAAAATTTTATAAAATACATTTATGTTCGATTCAGTTTCCGTATATGTTCTTACACCCTAAGAAAAACCAGCTGAGTTATTCAGATTAAGTTCGGACGACTGTCGACTTGAATATTATCATTCGATTGTCAATTAGAATACATCAATCGGAAACAATTTGAATTTTATTTTGATTCCGTTCTATAGAACTTGAGCTATATGGTTTGTTTTTGTTTATAGAAAAGAAGCAGCTGGTGTTATATCAATGCCATTTCATCCAACTTATCATAGTGATTATGAACATTCATCTAAACAAGAAACAGCTGTTATACATATATTTCCTCCGTGTCAATTTAGTAAAAAAGTTTTAAAAATAATTTGTCCATCAATTCATTTTTCAAATATAACAACAACAATTAATGATGAACATTTAATGGTTGTTATTGTACATAATGATTGAACAACGAATATATTTTTCATATGGAACAGTATATTAAAATGTTTGTTTAATCAGTCTTTTCTTCTTTCATAGAACATTGAAATAGGAAAAAAATTTTTTTACTGTGATTTTTTCAGCAAAACTAGAAACAGTCTATTCAAATATTTCTTCCATTTAACCGAAAACAAAATACATAATCTAAAGACTACCATTGTACATTTTGTTAGATTTTCTTTGTTTTTTTTTTGTTTTATACTGACATACACAAACTGATATTGGTGTATTGTGTTACCTTCTTGTTTTCTATTTTAACTTAAAAATGCTTCGCATGAAAAGATTTAAATTCTTAAAAGATATTTCTTTCTCTCTTTTATGTTTTGTTGTTATTATTTGAAGATGACAGACGACGATATATTAATCGATTTAGAAACTTTCAATGAAGCTATGGTTCATTTTAAAGAAGCAGTTGATGGACGTGGTAAAGATTTTTCTAGTCAAGAAGAAAAAAAAAACATTTTCATTAATTTATTCTGTACAGATTTAGAACGTATGCCAACAATTTTAAATCAATTACTTACAATTCTTAAACATATCATTGAAGCTTATCAATTAATTGATTCGATTGATGTATTAGAATATGCTGCAAAATTAATTCATCTCTTACAAGGTAAAAAAAATAATATTCTATTTATTTTTTTGAACTCACATGATATTTTTCCAAGGGAAATATAGGAAGTGTAAGCTTTAAATCGAATTTTTGCACCCATTCCTCCCACATATTAACAGAGGGAGAAAAAGTCAATGATCCTTGAGCACATTGCCGTAGCAACTAAGGATAATAGATGTCAGATTCTTATCACAGAATTCTTTAGCAACGAAAAAGTTGCTGAACGACATGACCAATAAGGCTTAAACTTCTCGGAATTTGTATAACTGAAATACGTTATGCAATATTTTCTGAAACAGTCCTATTCAAAATACAGAAGTAAGTAAGACAGATCATTTTCCTGGCGATCAAGTATCCTTGGAAAATAACTATAATCTGTTAGAGATTTTTCTCCTAATGTATTTAATATTAGTCTAATGAGGCTAAAAAACACATGTGAGTTCCATATTGTAGTTCTAAACGAGTTTTGCTGATAAGCTTTCATATGTATTTAGATGTTCATTCATCTGAAAATACAAATTACAATCTTGAACCATTTTCACATGCTATTGATCAACTTGCACTTTGTCTAACTGCAAGGTAATCAAACGAAGAAAATTTTCAAAAAAAAGAAAAAGCATATTTTTATATTTTTGTTTCAAGAATAACAAATCGTTTCGTTGTTCCGTCATCATCAACAAATTCTGATACAATAGATTCTACTAATAAAAGTGATAATATTAGTTCAGGGCGAGAACTCGATGTTTTACTTGAAATACTTATGAAACGTACTGATGGTGTTGATGTAGCACATGAACATGCAAAATATTTATCAAAATATATGTTTTCATTAATACATTATGTACAAGAACGATCTATTGAAGAACTTGAACATGCTGAACGCACATCAAAATTAGCTAATAATTGTTCATTATCATCATTTTTAACAACATATCGTTTTTTACCTGGCATTGATTTAATGCTAAAAACATTAAAAAAAGATGCAACACATCATTCAAAAATACAATCAACATGGATGCTCTTACAAACACATGAATTTGTCGGAGTAAATTATTCATATTAATTAATTTCAAAATTAAATATTCCATATTTTCTTTTTTTCCTATTTATAGAAACTTGATTCTTGGCGAACATATCATGATAATGTACGAAAAACTGTTAAAATTCAATGGGATAAATGTTTAAAAAAATTTGTAAGTGTAAATGAATCATATCCACTGAGAATTCTAGATCAATGTCTTCTTCAGCACGAAGACAGTTCTCCTCCGAAGATCAGATTGGTTCTCCCGAAGTCTTAAATTGCTTCCTCTCAAGAGAAAAATGAGAAAAAACACTGCTCTCGATAAAACCCGTCAGGTTGGTCCCAAACTAAGCGGCCGCAGTTGTGTGACTATGTTGTTCGATATGTATGCACAAACTACTGTGTTCAAACGCTGGTATCACCAGTCATGGAATAAGCCTAGACAAATCACTAAGGACTGTCTTTAAGAACCCAAACAATGAAACACAAGAATTCTGCGTCAGATTAGCCTTCTGTTCATAGCTTCAGCTAGTATTAGTCGGAGAGCAATTCTTCTTGATTCCGATATCCGAAAGTTTTGGATCTGATGGACTGTAATCGTCTGAGAAATGTGTAGGGTGCGCTTACCATCGAACACAAGAAGTAGGAAAAACTATTTCGTACCTTTGACGTGACTATTCAAGTTCGGGTCCGAGTCTAAAAATGTGGGCCCATTAACTCCATTCATCGGTCTTCTAGTGTGTCGAAATGTACAAAACTTTAAAAGAAGTCTTCGCTCAAGGTCAATGCATTTTAATAGGTCCTAATTAAACAGTTTTTTTCCGGAAAACAAATCGGTTTTGTTGACTTACATTACGTCTAGCGCATCGTTCTCTCAATAAGGTCTTCTATTACCGAAATGAATTTGTGTGTTTTTGAAATGTTGATCTATTATTTTTTCAATTTATAATTATAGCAACAAGCATCACACGCCTTAGAAGAAGCTCGTTTAAATTCGAAATCAGTCATACATCTTCCAACATCATCATCATCATCATCAACATCTTCAGATGCTATTGCACATTCAACAAATCTCTCAGTGCTATTACCACATGGTTCTCTTCAACGTACGGCATCATCACCACCAAATATGCATATATCTCCCGTTGCAATGGCTTCTTCTTCTTCAACAAATGAAACAAATATCCAATCACTTTTAAATGATTTTGATTTAAAACGAAAAGAACTTCAATTAACAAAACATGAAACATTAACTATACTTAATAAACTTATTAATAATACAGAACATTTAATAATTGATTCATTGAATACATATTTTCGTTTAACTGAATTTTTAACACATTCACCATCGATATATATTCCAAGATCAAAAAATGATTTAACATCATCATATAGTACTTATATTCATTCATTACCGCCTTGTTCTATTCAAGAAAATCCTTTACCAGTCAACGATAATTCCATACGACAAATACCAATTGTTATTAAAATCTGTTGTCATTGTATTGAACAACTTGAAGGACATAAATTAAAAGGTATTTATCGTTTATCAGGTGTTAAATCAAAAGTTGATCAGTTATGTCGACAATTTGTACAAGGTATTGAATTAAATGAAAATGATTTAATAAATAATTATTCACCTATTGTATTGGCTAATGCAATAAAAAAATATTTACGAGAATTACCAGTTCCATTATTATTAATTGTTGAATCATCATATTCATCAACAATAATTCAAAATGAATTAATGAATATTGGAAAAGAAATTTATACAACATCAAATCAAATATCAACACGTATAAATGAACGTTTACGTGAAATAATTGAACAAAGAATTTCAAAACATGCTAGACTAGCTTTAATTCATTTACTTAAACATTTACATTTAGTATCATTAAGTGAACAAGAAAATCAAATGTCTGCTGTTAATTTAGGCATTGTTTTTGGACCGACACTTTTTAAATCTCAACAACGGTAAGAATAGTAAAAGCTAAAAATGCAATTTTGTCAACATTTTATTCTTCTCGCTGATTCAACCAGCTTGAATCTTTCGAGTTGTATTTGATGTAGACAAAACACAATGGTATCAGCAGGTGTATTCTTATTCGTCTGAATATTTCCTTCAATTATAAAATTTTCAGATACAGATAGAAGTCATTTTTTGTCTTTAGCCTGTCAAACGATCTTTTCTTCTCTATGTTGTAATTCTTCGAAACGATCAAAGACGTAGTTACAATTTGTTATAACATTCTGTCATGAATATATTATGTACAGATTTGATAGTAGAGTACTGCAGAACTAAACTTTGTCATGTTCCAAAGCCCGTTTGTCTCATTGGCTAAAAGGCAGTTGGCTGCAGAAAGTGCAGTAGTCGACTTATTATTTTTCATTGGCCTAGTTGCCGTAATAAATGCTTTTTCTTCTTTTCGACACATAAGTTGCGATTCAAGTCAGACACTCGTGCTCGATATCGAACCATCATTTCGAAATGCGAAAAAACTTTCCCGAGATCGTTAGAATATGATGCATGCTCATCTAAAATCCATTTTTATTTTAAACCGATTCCGTCTCGGGTTTTATAAAAATGCGGAAAACGATAATCAACAATTGAGAGTTTCCTAACATGATGATAGTTGGTTCACATTTGTTATTTCTTTCACGAAAGTCTGAGATTTAGATATGTCAAATGTCATATCGAATCATGTCTATTTAAAATAACCAATAAATATACAACACGATTAAATCCATCCAACTTTTAATAAAATGCACTTAAGATAAGTTTTGATTATGAAAAAGCATAATTATTGTTTCATATTGAATAAATATACACTGTCAATAAAACATTTGCATTTAAATGAATACACTTAACAATTGTTATAGAGAAGTACTTGATAAATATGAATGTGTGGTTAAGTTTATTTAGGAGATAAAGCTTTTTGATATAGTAATTTTTCAATGTTTGCCATAATAAGTCAATATGACATCCATAGTAAACCTCTACCCACAATAGAATAACAAAGATCTTCTCTTATGTCCAAGCACAAAGTTTTCAAAAGATTTTTTCAAAAAATTACGAAATATTGCGAGTGTTTCAGAAGAGACTTTTACGGTTTAAAGTTTAAGAAAAAATAATAAAATTGAGATAAATGTGTGGGAAAATAGTCCAAAGTCTGATCTGTCATAAACAACATGTTGTTTTATTTGTCATGTCGTTTTTTGATGATTTCCATCATCTTCTGTTTAAAAAGTGTTTTGTTTTTCAGAAAAGTGGGAATCATCTGCTTATGTTTTTTTTTGACCGTGCAACCCGAATTCTCTGCTTCTTCATTCAATATGTTTAAATTTTTTTTTTTTTTTTGAAAGAGTAAATCAAGATGCTGAGCGTCATAGAAGCCAATTTTTAAATTGATCTTAGTCATTATTATATGACAGAGTACTTTCATAATTACAGCACCATTTTTCAAGACTTTGAACTTTTCTGCATCTAAAAAGTAAGAATTAAAAAAGTGCTCTCGCATACTTTACATCTGGACATACCCTTTCAAACAAAAGGTAATCAAGTACACAGAATGTGAAGGCCTACAGAAAATTTCGGATTGTCAAATGAACTATTTTTGACTTTTGTTTGTTGAATATCTGTCGAAAACCTCGTGACATAAAGACTGAAAATTTTACCATAGTTTCTCCACCACAGTTACAACATATTCTGAAAAATTCATGTAATATGAATATAATTGATCGAAGATCGATTTTGGAGGATGACTCAAAACGCTCAAAAAATATGTTGACTTCAAGTTTTTTTGATTTTTCAAGTCAAAAGTCTAAAGTTAAGCATATATGAATATAAATATATTAATTCAAGTTGAATTATTTATGAGAAACTAATACATGAAAACAAGTCTTCTGTTGTGGATAAATGTTTGCTAATGTAGAAAGTTTCATGATTCTTATAATTATTAATCATATAAAATAATTAATCGATTGTGTTAAAATATATTGGCTTAAAGTCAAGTCAATCAGGACTTATTTGAATGAGTCATGTGTTCTGTTTCTATTCGTATAACCGTCATAGTGGGTAGTCAAAAATAGGATAGATAAAAAAAAGATTATTTGCGATGGAAAATACCTCTGGATACCCTTACCCTGAAATCCTATGGAAAAGATTTTTATTTTAAAAATTGACAAGTAGTACATCGTTCAAAGCAGTTTTTCATGCTGACTCCAAATAGATGTTTATAGAAAATATGTGTCTCAATCCAGAAGCATACGTGTATCTTTGCACTAACTGAATGTATATCCCAGATACAGAAGAATATTATCTAAAAGTTTCAGCGATTTCGGATTAATAAAAAATAAGTAGCAGTCAACTTTACTGAGGACATCTTTTCGAAAAATGAATCATTAGTTTTTCACAACGAAAGTTTTTCTTATAAATCAATAGATTAGAACTCCTAGTTTCAGACTATAGATCATTTATTGTCCCATTCTTTTTGATTTTTCACAAAAAAAACCGCGTGTTTTTCTCTGAAGATCCTAAAATTTGACCTTTTTTTGCAACTGAGTTTTTCCAATGAATTTAACAACTGAGATAAAAATTTTATTCCCAAAAAACTGCCGTTAATCAAAGTATATAGGTTACTATTCAAATCTTGAAAGAGTCCACTTTCCTTTTTTTTTGTTTTTCATTTAATGTCCAAGTTGTTATCCACGACCAATGTTAGGGATATATTTCGATTCATTAGTTGTCACGTATTAATAGAGACTGTCGAGTTGAACTGGGAGTCTGCGCATGCTAGTTGTTAGTCATGTTTTATGGATTTTGGTTTTTGGTTTTTTCCTTAAATCTTTTTTCTCTTCTATTCTTCTTTGTTTTCATGTTGTTTCAGTGTTATTTCTTTATTTGTGAACTCAAAGATTTTCCTTTCTTTCTATCTAATTATGTAAGCTTTAAGAAATGTCTAAATACATTCTATTAAAAAGGAAACATAAAATGTTGACAAAACAAAGCTATATGAAACGAAATCATCTATTTTGTCTTTTTATTTTGATAGAGCGGAAGATGATACAACACTTTCGACGTTACTTGAAGCACCTTATCAGGCAAAATTAGTTGAATATTTAATTGTCAATGTACATGTCAGTTATATTCAAAATATTTATTTCATAAAAAAGAATATGAATCTTTTCTTTTTTAGGATCTTTTTAATTCAGACAACTAGTCATATCTTCTCTATTGTCTAGTCATATTTATCTATATCATTTGTTTTTAATGCTTTTTATGTATAATATAAATCAAAATACAGTGAATGTTTCTTTTTTTCTTTGACGTATTACATTCTATTTTAAACTCATTATCTATTGTATATTTATAAAAAAAAGAATGTGTAGTAATTGTATTTTTTTTTGATTATTATAACTCTTATTGACTTAAGAATAATAAAGAATGCTAAAATGATTGTTGTAGTAAAGAATCATCACTGATAAGAGTTCTAACAATAATGAAAATAAAGCTATTCAAGTAAACAAGAACTTCTGGAAACATATTTCAATACTCTAATCAAGATTCTCGTTTTAATATGTCCACGTCCATTCAGATAATTTAAAAAGCAGATATCTTTCATTTTCTAAAGATGTTTTTAAAAGTAACTTTTACATCTGGCAAGCGTGCTGAAATTTTGTTCGCAATATGTTAATATACTTCGCAAATAAAAATGATTTTTTTAAGCATGCCAAATGTTAAAATATTTTGAGAAACCTTTTTAGATGTTTTCCAGATGCCAAAATTGCCTTTTTAATCGTCTTCAAATACTTTTTTTATGATGAAAATAGTTGCTCTTGGTTTTTTTTTTGAATCGATGTGAAAATGCAAAAATGAGCACCGCGATTAGATCGTTTTCGTACGTTTTCAGAAATACTTGTCTGCTTGGATAAGCTGAGGGTGCATATATTGTTAACTATCAAAGCTAAAAGATTGTAGTAGACATATGCTATAATCGTATAATTATTGATTAATCATTTCTTTTTCAATATAACTGATGAATAAGTCGAGTTGTTTAGAATATGATGAAAAATTTTGTATTTATATTTAATTATTTCCCTAAATATAGGTTGTAGAAACTCAATAGGCTTGATGATATATATCATAATCATAAACACTAGTTCTATACTATTCAATGTATTCTGAAGGTTTCTACTAATGACAGATCTTGAATAGGTTTGATTCGAAAAAATTTCATTTGTAATAGTAAGATTTTTTTTTCAAAAATAAGTAATATGTATATATGAATATTAATATTATACAAGTTGATGAAATATTTTATTTTTAAGTTTCTTATTTATTCATCGTAACATTTGTTTTCATAAAAAAAGACGTTGAATTACTCTATGTATATGACTACAAGGTATTTTATAAACACATGAATAGAAGGCTAATATTCATTGATGAAAGCTTTTATTTATGTCATAGAACAAATACACAAGTAGACGATTCAATGAGCAACATATTTTACAAGTATTAACATTTAGAGAGTAAAAATACATTAATGTTTAAATATATTTCTTCTAGTCGAATGACATGCTAAAAAGGTAATAGACATAAGTAGCACTTAATGTCAAGTGACTATGTTTCGATCTTGTTCCACTCCATAAATTTTGGTTTCATAATAAAACTAGTCACATAAATATCATGATTTTCATCTTGAAAGTTGAATCAGTATTTTTCTCATCCGTCTTGTTTTGAATACTAGATTCATTGCATGAGAATGTAGAAATTAGATATACACATATATTTATGTTATGTAAGACGAGCTTTTTTTTTTTTATGAATCCAGTAAAATTAATTTTCAATCAATTATATCTCTATTTACATAAATTCTTTGAATTTCAAGACAAAAATTTTCTTTTTCTTGTGTTCTTTAATATAGAGTACAAGAAATTTCTTTGTTTTAGTGAGTCATCTTAAAAGAATGTTTGTTATATCTATTGAATTCTCGGTTTTTTATAGGTAAAAGAAAGATTCTTTTATTTTTGGATATTTTTATTAACATTGATAAAACAATGAAATCTTACGAAAAAAAAAAATACGATACGAGTTCACCGGTCGATCACGCACACTATTTTCTTCTAGATAACTAAGAAAGCCAATGACATAGCCAACAGAAAAAAGCTAAATGAGAATGAAAGCAATAACACAAAACAAAGAACACAGTAAAATTCGAAAGCGCCAGGTTTTGTCAAATGAATGAAAAACAAAAAAAAACGAATACATATTAGCAGCCAGCTGCATTAACATAAATGAAAAGAACAAAATTAATATAATATAAAGCTCAGCAAGAAGAAAAAGAAGACTGTTTTTTTTGGCAAAAAAAAAAAAACTGCGCGATCTTTTTGTGTTCTCTCATATCAAGAAAAATTACCGTCTTTTTAATAACCATTTAAATAATCTTCAATATAACTGGCTAATTCAAGGTCTATTTGACATGGGGTGAAGGTATTATTGAATGAGTCTGTTGGCCCATATTCGAAATTTGGTGATGTTGGATATGGGGGGTTGCAATCGACGTTGAATAATTGTTCCCAAAATTCGTCATTGACATTGACCGGTGCAACAAAGTTTGAAAGTTGTCGACTGAACGGTGAATATTGGTGTTGATAGGAGAAGTCGTTAGTTTTGCCGTTGTCGTCTGTGAGGAGCCCCATGGCGAGTGACGGACTATAGGCCATGATTGAATCTTTGCTCGCCTCTGATACACATGTTGACGCTAAAATAAATAGAAAAATAAGTTAAAGAAGAAAAATTAGTAATAAACATTAACACAAACACCGCACCGAGATTTACTTGTGGGGCTTCGTTTAATATTGAACTAGTTTCTGATTCCGATTGAATAAATTTAACAAAATAGTCTCGTAATGATGGACTAATTAAATTTGAATGAAATTTTTTTCAAAAACCCAAAATTTAACTTACTCAACAGGTTGAGCAAGAATTTCAAATTCAATTAATTTTGATCGTCGCTGCCGTTTTAATCGTATTTGACATAAAAATGTTAAACGTCCATCTCCATTATTCGTATACATATCGAGTATTTCACAAACATTTATTGGTAATGGTTTTTGTTGTTGTTGTTGTTCATGTTGAACTAAAACAAAAGGTATGTTAGAATAATACAAAATTTTTAATAAATCCTTTTTACAAAATTTTTGTTGAATTTTTTCAAACTTTTCTAAATCATTTTGTGGTATATATCTTCCTAACCAATTACCACTCATTTCATTTTTTGTATAACCAAGAATTTCTTTAACACTAAAAGAATTTAATTTGAAACATGTTTCTATTTTTTTTTAATAAAAATTTTACTTTGATGAAACGGTATTAATCGACATATCTCCATTTAATGTTATTTTTATCATTGATTTTACATTATCATTATGAATGACCATAGCTGTTTGTGGTGAACTCGATCGTTTTGTTTTTTGAGATACTAAAGCATCACAACGAGCAATAAATAATTTTTCATATGATGATGAACCATCGCATGAATAAAAGTGGCCAACCATTGATATTGTCTAACAAGAAATTTTTATTTTATACAAGAGATAATAAATGACAAATATTTATCTACTTTGACGTCTTCATTTGCTCGACTAGGACGCTTGCCTTTCGGCAAACGAAATGTACATACAAGTTGATGTTCTTGTTGAGCTAAGTCATTTGAAGAATTGAGAATTGATCGTAATTTATTACCATCAGTTACATCAAGACATTCAAAAATATTTATACATTGTGTATATAATGAACGCTAAACGAAGTTATATTTTTATTTTTTATATGTTTTTAAAATTAAAGATTATTTACCATTGATTTTCCTAAATGATGTTCAGCTTCATCGCTGATAGCAACAATACGGCCATCAGTACGAAGAACAAGTATAAATTCACCATTGTTTACCTATTGAATAAGGAAAAAAAAAGCGAAATTTCTTTTTTTCATTTGCTTTCACTTTATCTTACATTCATTGGAATGCCGCTTGAAAGTTCCATATTTTCTGAAATAATAAAAAAAAAAAGAGTTTTTCAAATAAAAATCTTGAATGTCTTTGTTTTCGCTTTACGTGAATAAGTAATTCCATTTAGATATTTTTCTTTGAGTAGACGTGCAAGTGTTAAACCTAATATTTCATTTTTATTTCTTCTTCCACCTGTTCGAATAGCATTTTTTGCTCCTGGTTGTTGTACTAATGTTGCCATATAAAGATGGTCAAAATAGAAATTAGTACACTCACGACGTTTTGCCGGTAGCTAAATCATATAGAAATATATTATCTTTTTTTGCTTTTCAAAATAAATTAATAACTTCTTTTATTGTTTAAGCAATTTCAGACAGAATACTTTATATTAATTCATTACATATATGAACGATATCTTCATTATGTCATAACGACCTTTATAGAATCTTTTTTGTAAATATTTATCTGAATAATCAAATTCGTCATCTTAGTACAAGTACAGAAAAACACATTAGAAATTTTATTGTTTTTGTTTTTGTATTTTATTTTTCTGCTTTTTACTTGAGACATGAAAATAGGCTTTCCTCTATCCTATTTTTTTTAACGACGTCTAAAAATAAATAAACACTCAATGATGAAAGTTTGTTTTTGTCAAAATTCAGAATGATGAAATAATGCAAAGAAAAAAAAACTTCATGAGTTTGTTTAGTATTTGTTTTATTACCGTAGCTACTTCTAATTCTTCTTGTTGAGCATAAATATTTTGATAAAAAATACTGTGATCGTTCATCGAACCAGCCGATTGATCACAAAATGAACTCTGTTGTTGTTGAAACATGATATTGAATGATGTTGATAAAATTAGCGTTAATCGTCCAGCGATTTTTAGTATATACAGCTGTCCCGCAGCCGTTCAAAAAGCAACCGTACTTCAGTAAGTCAGACTACCAAGTGTCTTTCATATATAGAACACTTTTCTCTTTTATGTTCTCTCTTTTTTTCTCTCTTCTTTTTTTTTCTACCATATTTCTTTTCTATATTATTTTTGTGTATGTGTGTTTTTTTCCTTTTTCTCCTAACTTCATCAACGACATTTTTTACACGGTAACTAACCAAAGGAGCGAAAAATCAAAAGTAAGAGACAGACAGAGAAAAAGAGAAAGAAAGTGAAGTATGCCAACTCACTTATGTCTCTGTTAGCTTTTCTCTCTTATCATTAAATATGAATATTAATATTGTAGTTATTATGTAAATATATACGCCGTATTCTAACACGAAGGAAGACGAATAAAGTCTGCTTTGTATTTGTCATAATTGTGTTCTCTTCCAAAATATACGTGTCTATACTTGACATGGTTAAAAAAGAAAACATATTTCACCAATTGTCGCTTGACATATTTGCGTCTTAAATAATACATTGATCGATGGGTGCGAAATACATTTGATCAATAGAGATATAAGGAGAATGAATAATCGGTAGAAGGATATTAAAAGTGCATCTATGTCGATGCGAATTATGGTAGGCTACTTAGTTATTATTGTATTTATTTAGTGTAAGGTGCTTTCCAGCATGTTATTTGATCTTCAAAGTATAACACGAGGAAAGACAAAGAATAAAGCTATATTCAAACATCCTACGCATACAATACGTGACAATAAATAAAAATAAATTATGCAACGGAACATGCAATGAAAATACTTCTAATATAATGTTCTAGCATGTCATTATTTTAAAAAGAATATATAATAATTTAAAAGATCATACGCATTGCATACCGGATATGTGATATTTTATTCAGTAAGCATAGGAAAAAGGTGATGTAAAAAATTGAGGAAAAAAAGAACAATTAAAAATCTAACGACATTTGAAAGAAAAATAACGCCACTTAAAGTCATTTTTGAAATTTGTTCAAGCATACTTAAATAAGGAAACAGAAATAAAAACAAAGTAGTGTCGTCTGATTAATCGACAAGTGAGAACTCTATATGAGATGTCGCACATCGAACATCATTTGTTTATATGTTCCATAGCAACCTTTTGTTATAGAAAAAAAAAAAAAGATTGTTATATGTTTGGTCTGTAAAAAAAACGACTAGTAAATTGGATTTTTTTGTTTGTGTTGTTGTAAATATGCCATCATTATACCAACCACGACGAGGTGGTTCAATTGAAGTTGTATCAGAAAAAGCTGCCTCAGAAATAGTGACTGATTTAGAAAAAAGACCTGATTCAACAGAATATATTGAACCTGAAGAAAAGTTTATAAATGATTACATTCAACAAAATTCTAAACGAATTCAAGTAAAAGCTTTATGTTTAATTAAAGCTTTTTTCTTGTATGAAATCAATTATTTAGAGCGCATCATCAAGTGTAAGAACGGCTTCATCATTATCAAATGATGGAAATATAATAGAACAAAAAGAACCAATTAATAATCAACGTCGTTTATCACGTCATGCTAGTGCACATCGTTTATTTGAAGTTAATGAGTGGGAAGAACAACAGAAAAGATTAAAACAAAAAATTCAAACAGTAAAAGTTTTAAGTACAAATTTTTAATTTTATAATTAATTGTTAATATTATTAAGGGAGAATCAAATACAAATTATTCATATAATGAAATCAAAGCTACAACTCAAGAACTTATGAAAGTAAATAAATTCATATTTTATTTTTCATTTAAGAAACCAAACTCAGTCTAACGTAGTAATCACAAATCTTTAGATGAATCTTCCATTGAACAAAACGCATGTTCATTATGTTTGAATATATACATATTTTGTTCACCTATACACATTTCTTTCTAAATATTCAGCACATTTGCCTTTTTTTTCCATCATTACTGCTTAGTATAATAAACTTTATATTTATATATTAAAATGACTTCCAATTTTTGTGTTTTTTGAAAAAGAATATTTTCTTCCCTATAGGATTATGAACAATTAATAAATAAATATGATTTTGAAACACTTCGTCGTCGAGAATTTATCTATCGAAATTATCGTTGTAATGTACGTGAACCATTTTTAGTGGCAAAAACTAAACAATTTCAACGTTTGGATAAAACACGTCTTGATCGAAATCGATTTAAAGCTGAACAATATACTCAATATCTTCAATTTATTAATAAACATGTAAGATTAAAAATATTTTATGTTCTATTTATTTTTCTTGGAAAATCTTAGTAAACATAATCAAAATGTTAAGTTTTTGAAAAACAAGCATTCTAATAAATTAAAAGTTATAAAAATAATTGAAACAGGAAATTTTTAAAGCTATTTCAAATAGTGTCAATTGACAAGATTAAAATAGGAAGTTGAAAATTGATTGATTATATGTTAATAATAATGTAAGACAACTGTTTTCGAATTATTGAAAGTCTATGTAAAAAGTTTTGAGTTGACATTATACACTTCTTACATGTGATAAACACTTTTTACAAATTCAAAATAGAAGCTATTAATTATATAATCGAAGATCAAAGTCGCAACAGAGTTGCAAATAAAATTTGTTTTTGATACTTCTGTAGAAGATTATTAAACAATATTTCAATGAGTTTAAATGTAAAACAGTTAATCTAAAGTAAAAATTTTTCAAAAGAGATCAACTTATATGAATAGAACAAAAAATGTTTCATCAGATTGAAGGTAGAGTATGGCGCATTCAAAGTTTCAGACTCAGATCCGACCAAGTCCGAAATCAATCCAGCAGACTCTACTTGCCAGTGGACGAATTTGAAAATCTATTTTGTAAAAAACAATTATTATTTCAAATTAACCAATAAAATTTTTAGTCATGCTTTATTTATAACAAGACAGCGATTAAGATAAATTAAGGTCCATCTCGAAAAAAGTCAATTTATTTTAAAAAAAATGAAAATTGAGATAAATACATGAGAAGATAGTCCAAAATCTGATATTTCATGAACGATATGATTTTTGTTTTATTTGGCGTCTCATTTTTTGATGATTTTTGTCACCTTTTGCTTGAAAAAATGGAAATTTTTTGTTTATATTATTTTTTATTGCTAACGCAGACTTCTTTGTAGGTCTTCGTTCTGTATATTTATTTTGTTTTTGTTTTGCTTGAAGGAGAATCTCAAGATGCAATGCATCAAAGAGTTCCTGTTTTCAATTAAGCGTTATAGCATGAATACTTGAATGATTAGAGCATCATTTTTCGAGCCATTAAGCTCGTCTTAGGTTAAAAAGTAAGAATTTTATAAAAGATGCTTTGTCATGTTACCCATCTTGACATACTCCTTCAAGCAAACAATAATTAAGTATATAGAATGAAGGCCTACAGAGAATTTTGAGCTTCCAAATGAGCTGTTTTTGACCTTTTATTGTATTAAATATTTCTCGAAAATGTCATGTCATAGGTCTGAAAATTTTACCATCGTCTTTCCACTATAGCTCTAACATATTCTGAAAATTTCATGCGATTTAGATATACCTAACCCAAACTCTATTTTTAAGGAGTGGTCTGAACAGTCATATGTCTGTGCGTCGTGAATGTCAATTGCTTTCTTCATTCAAAAGAAAAGCAGCTTTAAGATATCAAAATTATTTTTCTTCTGAATTTTTTTATTTTCTTTTTGTCGAAACATCATGCATAAATTTCAATAGAAAAGATAATTAGAGACGTGCACAGTAAGCCTACCCTATCCTATATGGAAGAATAGGATAAGAATCAAGAATATACTTTTACAATGGAAGATTTTGTACTGTTGAAAAAGAATCTAAGACATATGAGAGTCAAATTAAACTTCTTACTGACAAACCTAACAAATACAAAATATCAGTTGCTTAAGGTCTGAAATAGGCGTAATAATGAATTTTTTAGGTATTTATTGTGGATGTGAAAGATATTTACAATTGAAAATTTTAATACTGCTTATGCTTCTTTTTTTCATGATGGTTGGATAGAACTCGTCGAGTTACAAAAGACAAAAAAAAGTTAATCAAAAAGGTACAAACTTCAAGTATAAGAAAATATAATCAATAGTTCTGACTTTTATGAAATCTTTTAAAATTTGTTTTTAACTTTGAAACATACTTTTCCGTATATGACTCAACGAGCTACATCCAACTATAATGAAAAAATAAAAAATAGATAGTATTAAAATTTTCACTTGTGGGTTATTTAACATACACTGACAATGCCTAAAAAATCCATTATGTCGCTCGGCGCATGGAATGGGGAGCTTATATATTACATTTTTTTGTTTGCCTGTAAGACTTTTAATAAAGCTCGCATATGTTTACTGTCTTCTTGTAACAATAGGAAACCTTTCATTGTTAGTGGCAGTACAGAGAAGAAAAAAGCCTACTCTACACATGTTTAACTTGGTACTATTTATTACTGATAGAGTCTCTCAAGTCGGATAACATTAAGAAACAGAAAGATGAAATGTTAGACAGATTTTCATAGATAGGATATGAGAAAAGCTCACCCTGTACATTTCCGAAGGATTTATCTTTGAAAATCTGAATTTTCAAAGTAATTATCTTAAATCTCGAATTACATACTATTGCTTCCTTTATTAGATCTCTAACTAATTTTTTAATCCAATTATTTAGTACCTATCAGAAGATAAATTCTAGCGGTGGACGATACAAAAAAGAAAAGAATTTATAAATAAAAAAAAAAACAAATTTTCTTGTTTATTTTTTATTAATGAATAGCGATTTATTACTCAAGATGATTATGATAAACGTGAATATGATGCTATGGCACAATATGATGATAAAACTGAAGAGGTAAAACATAGATAAATATCGTTTTTTTTTTACTGCACGCTTTGTATGTTATTTATTCTTATATAAGATTCACACAACAGTTTTATCAGATCCAACTCTTCTTCCTTATCATAAATGGATAAATGAACGTCGTACAGTATCATCTATAGGATGTCGAAGTCAAACGCAAAAAATTGCCGATCCTCGTCGTGTAGTTTCTGAACAAGGTTTTCGTTATTATCATCGTACAGCAACACCTCTTTCGAATGGTCGTTCATCACAGTCTGCACTTTCTTGGCAAATGCATGATCAAACACATATTGATTCTCCTGTTAGACGTTTAGCAAGGTTTATTTTGATTATCAAAAACAAAAATAACATTTTCATTGCTTTTTTAAATTATATTTTTTTATTTTTATTTTTTAGTGCTAAATGTTATCATATTGAACAAAAATCACAAAATCCAACTAATTTTGATCCAATCGATCGATCTTTATCATATTTACATCATCGTACTGTATCATCATCAGCTGTTACAGCATAATATTGTATACAAAAAAACAAACCTAATTTAACATCTTAGTATTATCTTGTTCATAATTATCTAAATTAAAATTATAGATTGCTAAAAAAGGTACCGGTAATGAAAGACACATCATTCCAAATAAAATAGATGTTATTGTAATCCATGTTAAATATGGTGTTGAAGGTATATGTTGACCAAAACCAATAGTTAATATTGTTTCATAGGAATAATAAAGAGAATCAAGTGGAGTTGAATGTATTTGATGATGATCAATTAAAGATATTCCATAAGTTAAATTACCAAAAAATATACAAAGACACATAAATATAATAAAAAGAAGCATTGATATATCAGAATAATAAAATATTGTTTGAATATATTGACGAATATACATTGAATAACGACTTAATTTTAATATACGTATAAGACGAAAACAATTTATAAAACAAATAATTAGATTATTTTCTTTTATTTTAATTATTGAACATAAATAAATAATACAACTTAATATAGATAATAAATCAATTATTGTTAAATAATTAGAAAAATATTTTAATTTATTTGAGACATATATAAAACGTATGATAAATTCAATAATAAGAATAATTAAATAGATTATTTCAGGTAAATGAGATAAATATTCTTTTGAAGGATTAAAATCAAGACCAATAATTTTTAAGATCATTGTTGTATTATCTGTTGATGATGGTATTGAATGAAATAATGGTAAAGCAAATGTATATTCAAAACAAAGATTCCCATAAGAAATCATTGTCATGGCAAAGAAAAATATATTGATTATTTTTGCTTTAGAAGAAAACGGAAGTGCAAATAAGGTATAAATCCATGAATTAGTTGAACTGAAAAGAAGAATATTGTAATAGAATATATTCATTATCGAGATAAAGAATATCCGGCAGTAACTGAGGATAAATTGTAAATGACATGTTTCGTTCTTCATGATTTCCAAAAATTTAATTTTTAACTCATTGGATGAACGGTAGAACAAATTACATACTCATAATTCAGTTTCATTGAATAAACAGAGTTACAGTACTAAGCGAAAGTCTTGCTCACTCGCTGTCTTCGATCTCAGCTACTATAATGTACTGGAAATCTGAAGATTTGTGTGCACATAATCCACCAAGAATTTGGATCGAAGCTATCAGCTTGCCTAAATTGCTTAAACAAAACAGGAAATATAATGGATGGTAACGGATAAAACTTATTCTTCCGTAGAACTTAATATTTCTTGAAAGAAAGCATTTTAAAGGTCAGCCGATCCTTCATTATTTACGGCTATGTTCCAACTAGTCACGTTATTAATTTCATCGAAGTCCATAGATTCTTGTTAGAATATTGACCATTCTATTGTCATTATTCGACGGGTGGAGAATTTCCTGATGCTTTTTTAGACTGTAGCTCAGTGGTATTTCAATAAATCGGTCGCAAAATTTTAGAGAAACTTGGCCTGTAGTTAAACACAATTACCTACAAGTATCAGAAAACAACTTTCTTCTAAAGGGAAAATCTACTGGAAAAGAAAGACTTTTGTCCACCAATGTAGTTAGTTATTTAGCAGACAGCGAATCTTGCTTTTGAAACATCTTTATGCGGGAAATCCAAACTGCAATCTTTTGACCAGAATATTATTTTAAATGTATGCAGTAATAACTAGAATAGATATTTCTGTTAGCATTAGTGCTCCTTTCTATCTGATACATTCTTGTAATCGACTTCTTATCGAGCCAGCATGTGAAGTTACGAAGAAACTAATTGACTCAGTAGGAAGTCGATCATAAGAATTCATCAAACAGAAAGGAGGAACGATGCAATAATAATGTTGTTTTTGATCTCAAGATATTAATATTTTCGAACAATATAATCTTTTGATTTTCTATCTGGATATAGACTTGTCTTTGTATTAATGTTGCAAGCATCTTTACAATAACTTTCAAATAAAAAACAGAAATATCTATTATTATCATTATTACACATATTTGAAATAAAGTTTTGAACAAAAAAATAATCCCTGTTTCCTGATGAAGATATTGAAAAAATAAAAATATGCTGTTGGTTGAATGACTAACTCTACTTATTTAGTAGTATGAATATGTAACTTGTTCTTTTGCTGCATTCAATGACTTAATAATTAAAGTTCTTAAAATCATGAAGAAGGAAACATGTCACATTATGGAAATCGTACGAAGATTTTTTGTAGCTACTACACATCTAGTCAAGATCTTTAATTTTTCAAAGTTTCCGCTCTCTGGCGAAACTAGTGCTGAAATGTATGAATTGTTACATGAGCTTTTGTAATATTTGTAATATGTAGTCAATTGCAGCAGTATATAGAAATACATTTATATCGACAGTCCTTTAGATTTTAAAACAAATTTTATCTTCAATCATTTCAACTTTCCATTAGATTTGTATAAACAATCCTAGTCAGGAAATAAAAATTTTATAAAAATCCAGTTCAAATATTTATGTATTTTGATCTTATTCATGCATTTAAGCACTTATTTTAGCTGGAGAGCTAAAATTGTAGAAAAACTAAAGACTTCGGTTAGATATATATGTCATAAAAATTCCAGCCTTTTATGTCAAGAAAAAATATGGGAAATGTCATTGACAATTTATCATCAATTATTATGGGAGTCCTATAAATATATATGATAGTTAAGTTCAACAAAGTATGTTCTATATTCGAGGAATTGGGAAGATTTAGAGATGTGCAGTCCTGTCACATTATAAAGAATTAAACAGAAAATTTGGATTTACATCGTTGGACAGGTACCTACTATGTCTACAAATACTGTATTTATTCAATAAATAAATCTTATCATTCTTCACCGTCTAGTAGATAGTCATCTCGATTTTCAGAAGATGTAACTATACTGTTTTTTATGTGTACAATCACTTTGTTATTATATATTTGTCAACTGTATTGCATAATTTAAAACGAAAACTTTTTCAAATTGCACAAACCATTCTGTTTTTTCCCAATTGATTTCAAATACAAGATGTTCCATTTTTTTAAAAGTATTGATAACTGTCTCATCCATTTCAAAAAAAGATAATAATGAATATACTTTTAGGTTATTTATATTATTTGGTCGTGATAAAAGACCAGTAGAAATAAAATAAACAAGAATTTCAAATACATCAGCTGGTTGATCAAATATATAAGCATTTTTATCAACATCATAAAATTGTGCGAGACGAGCTTCATGTGCAAGCATGGAATTTGGTGCTCGTTTTTGAATAAGTTCTTCACTTAGTTCAAATGAAACGCCATTAACTACAAAGGAAACTAATTGCAATTTCAAAGTAATTTCTTCTGCTAAGTTTGGTGTTTCAGTTGTTATACTCATCAAGTAGAAAAGATATATGTATATAAAGCGCGCTAACATTACGTTACAAACATAAAAACAATTCATCTTTTAATGAAATACGAACTTGCCAATGGGATAATGATAAGAATAAGATGTCAAGCTCATAGATGACACCAAAAAATATAATATTAGGATATAGAAAGACAGAAAAAAGAGAAATCGATAGAAAATGTATTCTTTTAAGATCAATATTTCTTTTATTCTATTATGTATGTCAAAAAAAGCCAACTGAGTAGTTATTTTAATAGAAAGCTTGACTGGATAATATATAAATAATTAAATGAAATGTCAGTATCTAACATATCGAGATTTGTTCATTTTTCTGCGAAGATTGAAACAATACTTGATGTTCTTTTGCATAAACAAATTTTGAAGATGGTTTTAATCAAAAGATATAGAAACTTGAATTAAAAACACAGAAGTTGGTTGAAAAGAAACACAGTCAAACCCAGTTCATGAATAAGAATAGAATATATGTATTAATAGCTCTGTTAGAGTATCGTTGATCAATCATTTTCTTCAAAGATATGCAAAGATACGTGACAAAACCTTCATAGTTTCTATAATAAAGGGAAAAGTGATGTAAGACAATATCCGTCATTTATTGATTGCAAGTCACTTTTCGATCTGATCATACTATCTGTATAATTCAAAAGTTGATACATTCATCTTTTGACTTAATCAAATCGAAGAAAACATTTTCACATCAGAGTGATTTATCAATTATCAGTTTTCTAAACATATAAATGATTACCTTAGCCAAGTCCACAGATTAATATGATACATCACTACTGCACTTGACTCCGATGATATTATTATAGCATCACTTTGAATTTCTTAAAATCATACTTTGATCAAATAAAACTTTAGAGTATGTCAGAAGCGTGAATGCTGTCATACAAAATACTTTTGAAATTGTTTAGATTATTGTAAGATACTTGTTTCTAAATCAAATGTATTCGTTTGAGGGTATGGATGTGTAATGGGTGTCGGTGCAAGTATTAGATTGAAATTAGAAGCACGTACATATGCACTTACTCCATTAGCGATTTTGAGTTGAAATAAAATAAAAAGGTTGAAAAATGTTTTTCTCGATTAAAAAAAATTCGAGCCTCAAAGGGTTGAATGAGCATGTTCGTGCTTTTCATATTTCAGCAACTAAACCCAATCAGTGAAATGACCAACACGATCATTTAGAAGAGCAGTACCATTACCAAAACTAAAAAATCCAGTACCATCATTATTACAAATAAGACCATCAGCATCAATACGAAGTTCGTCAAAATTATCAGTATCACTATCATTATCATCATCAGGATTTTCATTGAGGTTTTGTAATTGCGCAACTGTGCTGCGCAGTTCATCTCGATCCCGTTCTGAAAGAAAAGTAAAAGGATTGATGTTTGGTGAGAACAGTTGTCAGAAAATGATAGCCAAAGAATCATTTTTAGATCATTTTCGTCGGTGGAGTTAGGTGTATGAGTGGAACGTGAGTAGTTTTGGTCTTAGTATGATGAGCATGCTCGAGAGGAGGTAACGAGAAAGTTACTGATTTAATTAATCGTCAGTAGCTTTTTGTGGATCTAGCCGGACCCACAATGCTGTTTTTTCGTTTCCTGATATGTCAAAGGAGAAAAAATAAAGGGTGGGTCCGCACGGATCCCAAAACAAATTTGGTGTTATACAGATGATTTTCACTCTTGTTGTACATGTCCTCTGTCGTTTCTAAAGTTTATTTTCCAGATGATTCGTTAATTAGTCACTGTCAGTTGTGATTGGAATACTTTTTTCATGTTTATTTCACAGATTTTGTTGCATCTTGATCGAAATGCTCCTGCTATGGCTTCTAGTCATAACGACCATTCTCGCTTTTTCTTCCTTAGAAACATACTGAGTCTGTAGACTTCAAGCGCTTTCTATGTACGGAGTATGCGGGTGTGGGTGAATTGAAGATCTGTACTCATACCCACACCCACATCCGTAGAGTGATCTACCCTTATGCGTAGAATAGTAAACCCTTTTGTGGGCCCCGTAAAATGATCTACCCTGATGCATATAACAGCATACCCTTCTAATGAAAACGTAGAATAATATACCCTTGTGGATAGAATAATAAATACTTTTGATGAAAACTTTGAGTAATAAACTCTCAAATGTGCGTCATATACCCTTTTGATTTTCATATACCTTCATTGCTATAAACCCTTCGGTCCATAAACCCTGAAAGGGTACATGACATCGGTATCAACCCTACAAGGGTTCATGGAACCGTTTTTCAAGTGCAAGGGTTGTTTATTCTACGGATGTTTTTTTCAGTGTAGAAAACATCACTATTTTCCGAAAAACATACATCCACGTACAAATTTTTCTTCTATTCCAGATTCCAACATCCGGAATCAACTAATCAATAGCCTATATACAAACTGTACTTCATCAACCACCATCATCTACCGCACATAACCAACTAATTAGACTATACAACTGAACAATAACCCGAAAACTTCACACAAAATTATTACACAGAATACTAATGACCATCGAAAATATACGAGCGCTCATACAAACTACTGACCATACACTTGCCCAAACCTATATGCAAACTTGCTCAATACAGCACACACCACTGGGTGTGTGTAGTGAAGAAAAGAGGCTCCACACCCACACCCAAAATGAATTCTCGGATGACACTTGATTGGCTGCGTTTTTCAGTGACATTTCCAAAAAATGTGAAACTTTGGATTTGGAGATTTCACACTATGGACTCAGCTTTAAGATAGAAAAATCAAAAATCAAAATTTTCGCACCAGCCGACTTGATTCTGTCGTGGCGCACACTTTCTTAGAAGTTGTCATGTCTAGATAAGAATGGTCTCCATGATGAATGTGGGCAAGTTTCTTGGCGAATACTCGATAGATAATTAGTTCCAAATAGTATCATTTCATATCTAAGCTCGTGACTTGTCTGTTTCAGGCGCATGTTTCCAATTACTAATAGGTTTCGATACATGTAGTTTTTCTATTGATGGGACATCTTCAAGTACTCCTTGTTGAACAAGCAGACATTTTTGCACGAAAAATAAGTTCACACCATTCTGTTCTCCATAGACAAGTGTATATCCGTGAGCACGACCAAGTGCTGCTAAAGCTAGAATTCCAGCTCCAAAGAATGAGGTACCCGTCAATCGGCGTGAATCTTGATATGGATTTACAACTCGGTTTTCATTGGCTGGAACCTCATAGTTAAATTCAATAACTACTACACGAGCATGAAATCGGTTGGCTTGTAAAATTGACTTCCAAACAAAGTAAACGTCGACGCTATAGGACAGAGATAATTACACTTTTATACAAGAAGGACATCTTACTCTACATCAACCGAAAGAAGATCTATGACGACTGGAGTTTTGTATTTTGCGAGCAAATCATTGATATTTTTTGGAGAGATCTTCTCACGGTGAAGGTTAACAGCGAGATTTTCATTACCACCATTCATCATTAGACCTTGCCATCCAAGATATTCACGAAGAAAACGTGTGTTGCATTGTTGGCTGTTTTCAACACCGAACTCGACAAAACGAGGTGGTTGATGAAATGTACCAATATTGGCGAAGATCCACAGGAGCACACCATCTTCGCCATTTTGAGAAAAGATTCTGTGCTCGTGTTGTTTAAATTCTGTAACCCAATGGGAACTCACTGGAGCAGAAACAGCTTTCCAACATTCTGACTGGTTCAAGTATCGTAATCGATGCCCGTGAAAGAAGGAAACTAGGCTGACCATACAAACAACTCGAATTGTTATGAAAATCAGTCGATTTCTAGTGCACACTAAAATATAAGGAAGAGTCATGTGCAAGATAATCGATAATTTCATTATAATTGATTACTTGTATTGCTTGTCATAAAGGAGTCGGCAAGGAGTTATTGGCGTCAGAGAAGAAATATGCCAGTATGAATACTTTTATTTGGCGACAAATATGACGAAAGACTGAAATTTAGAGAAAAAAAGTGACGCATAACTGAAGATAAAGGATTAATGACAATAAACTGATTTGCAGTTCGGCATGGCCACGCATCGGTCACCCATGCATGGGAGAGGTTCGAAATCAAACATGAAGAAAGCTGAGTCTACCATTTAAAAGAGAATGGTCGATAGCACTTGAAATGTGGACATTTTTATTCCTAAGTCTCATTGAGTGCACTGGATGAGTAAGGTCTTCCTTTGAATGAGTAACTCGAAAATTTGGGCAATAGAGGGTAGTGGAATACTTCGTCAAGCAAGGAACTATTAGCAAAAGAAAAAGTTCTTCGATTATTTATTAATCGATGGGTTACAAAGTACTCTTTAAAGACATGACCCTTCAGTCAGTTGATAGATGTCTACGAATGAAGATAATGAGTTCAAAAACCATCGCTTTTCTTTACGAAATTACGTAACGAAACTCGCTCTTAGCGTATTTTGCACGCTTATGTTGCTAATGCTCATAACAAAAGTAGTATTTTCAGATAGAGCTCAACAAGCTCTACACAAAATACCCATTTTAGTTGCGGTTTCATTCAATATTCACATACGTTTTCTACAAATACCGCGTTACGGAATTTCCTAGGCATACGAAATTTCGGGTGTTTTTACAGTATCAAGCGTTTATCACTGATTTCGTGCATAGATGTGCACATATTTGGTTATATTCGGAATCAGCGTCGAATTCTGAACAAAATGAAGTATTTAGATAATCAAAAGTCGAACTTTGATTTTTCTCGAAAATTTCTTATGGTCAAAAATGTTGAAAATTTTTTTTCGTCGAATCCTGTTAAAAAATGAGACATTCGGTGCAGAATTCGATGTTGGTGACGAATATATGCTTACTTTTTATTCTAATCCTTTCCTTTGGGTTAAAACCATGATCTTCGAAGAAAAGGTGAAATTCCGTAACGGGCGATATTTCAAATCTTTCATTTGATGAAGCTAGGCTCGATCAGAAATGATCTGATATTCTAACTACTTGTTGAAAACGGAACAACTTTTGCATATAACATTTATCGGTGTGTTGCTATGTTTCGTACAAAAACGCTTAACTCTTGGCCACCCTAAAAAAAATTTCCATTTTTTGAAATTCCGTAACGGTCAGTATTTGTTGAATAACTCTGTTGTCGCTAAAGATAAATTGATAAAATTTTTACTGGTAATAGATCTAAACGACTTCTATATGGGAGAAAGATTTTAGGCAGTTTGCTTCTATTACTGAGAAGTTACAGATGTTGCAATGTGAAAAAATGAAATTCCGTAACGCGTGGCCACGCCGAGTTATTATTAATTTCAAGAATATTTACTTTTTTAAAGGAAATATTAATAAGAGAGTAAAAAAACAAATGTGCTATATTTTTCACGCGAGATCATTCGAATTGCATTATTGAGCGATTGTGTGATATCCTCATGAATAACAAGAAACATCTTTAAGGTAATTACTTAGTATAGAGGTGAAAGCAGTTCAGAAAATCTAACCCTTTCCGGAACAGCCAGTTTAGATTTTTGACCTAATTGAATCATTCGATTGACAAATCCTTAATCTTCGAAATAGCGCTAGAAAACCGACATATAATTCAGAAAAAAATGGTCGTCGAACGGAAATTTCGTTGTAAACTTTCGAATTTTTTCATCATGATCGCTTGCGAGATTTTGTTTAGTATGAGGTAACAATCCAAGTGCTTATTCATCGTGTCTTTTCTTCATCTCTCTCTTATCAGTAGGTGCCATCATATGTATACAGTTATTCCTCTTAGTTCTCGATGGTATTCATCTCTGTCTAATAATTTCTTCTACATTCGTGGAACTTGGAACAAATACATAGTATACCTAGTATCTTCTTCCGCTACATCACCTTTGGTTGATAAATGGCGCTTTTCTCATATCATTAGTAGAAATATTCGGTCTCTATCTTATCGAATAAGTGCTATCACAACATCCACCCTGCGTACTGCTATGTCCAAACAAATCTACCGAAATGCATCTTATTCTCCAACACCAACAAGAAGTAAAGAAAGTAGGGCTGTCCTAAAAATGCTGACGTAATTTTCGACACAAATCCCTGCTATAGATATGCAGTTGCTTGAACCTTTTCATGGTAGTGACGACTGAACCGTCACTTCATGGCAAGCTGGCATTGGCGAGCCCTTCGATGCCACCAAACCAATGCCTGAATGTCATGGCCCATGGTCGTGATATATGCTCAGAATTCTTCTTTTTCATCTTTTCTTGCGCCATTGACAAACATTTTCTATTTCCTTTCTTTTCTTTTCATCCATTCTCTCCTCCACTCATCCCTCTCCAAGAGAGAAAAACATCATCAACATGTAATGGCATGAAAGGGAAAACGATGTTTCGAAGAGATTAATACAAGGCGTTTTTTTCCAAATGGATATTCTTTTTCTGTGTGTTTATTTTTTTTATTTTGGATGTTTGAATTGAGAATAATAGAGGAAGAAAGAGTAATGGGAGAGCAATTAAGACTGAAGAATGCTTAATGATCGTTCCTACGCATCCGATGGGCGACACCAACAATGATACTATTTGAGAGCTTCACACTAAGTTAAAATGTGTCGCAAAACACGACACATGCGACACATTGTACAACACATTAAAGTGCGACACATTTTCTCCAGCAAGACCACGACACATTACGTACGACACATGCGACACATTTCCTATTGGTCCTTTTGGAAAATCATATTTTGATTCTTTTTCAATTTAATTCCATTTAATTATTCATATTCTGAAGACTCAATCTGGTCAGATCCTGGGATCTGTCCAATTTCGAGTTGATCTGATTTGTATCAGACCGCTTCAGACTAGTCCTCTCACGATCATGGATCGAGATTGGCATTTTCTCGATAAAAAAAAAATAATCGAGAAATAATCTAGAAAATAAAAATAATTGGAAGTTTTTTTCTATGTTCAACCACGTTGTTTATATATCACCAAGTGTGCATAATAAAACGGTGAACGAATAGTCAAGCAAACAGAACGCGACAAATTCGTATATGACATATTCTAAGCACGACACATTTTTCTGCTGGAGGGAGAGCGAAAATTGGTCGAAAGAAAATTGGACGAACGATAATTGCTCGCCGACAATTGCTCGATACGAAAATTGGTCGCTACGAAAATTAGTCGCTACGAAAATTGGACGTTACGAAAATTGGTCGATATAAAATATAGTCTAGTCGACGTATTTGTAATTAAGAAAAAATGTTTTAAAGTAAAGCTGCCGACTGAGACCAATTCGTTAGACAATGACGAAGAGGAACAGAGAAGTAGCATACAGTGTGTCCCAAAAGTCCCTTCCCAAAAGTTTTGTTGCATATCTTTGTTATTTCATTTAACTTTATCGACA